TTGTTTCTTACAATTTGTAACCATTAGCTTGGTGGGAGTCGGGTCGTCCATTATCCCCTGACAAATTCGAAAAATAGGATGTACCCTCCGCCTGGCATGTACAATTACCCTCCGCCGCTTCTGCTGGTGAACTGCTCCAACTGCCACACCCCCTTGCAGCTGCCGCACGGCGCCAGATCCATCTGCTGTGCTGTCTGCCGTGCCGTCACACACATAGCTGATCCTCGCTCCGCGCCTCCATCATCATCAACAACAACGCAGCTATCTCCGCCTTCGTCTACGCACACGCCTCCTCCTCCTCCTCCTCCCGCGCCGTCCCCTTACAACCACGCTCCGCCTGGTCCGCCTCCCAACGTGCACGGACGGAAGAAGGCCGTGATCTGTGGGATCTCGTACCGCTACTCCAGTCACGAGCTTAAGGGTTGCCTTAATGACGCCAAGTGTATGCGATATCTTCTCATCAACAAATTCAAGTTCCCTAATGAGTCGATTCTCATGCTCACTGGTAATTTTTCGTGTTTGATTTGATCGCGACTCTTTTTTGTTGGTTTTCTCCGGCTAATGATTGTTGTTATTGCCCGAATTAAAGGCGCATTTTCGTAGTCCATTCAACGTCGTGAAGCCGCGTAGAAGAGATTATTGTCAAAAGCTCATTTTCTGTTTCTGTTTTTTTTATTAGGGTTTAGTTGTAGAAATTTTCCTTTAGAATCTGAGATTTTCTTTTAGGATCAGGTGTGATAGGAAATGGTCCAAAATGTAAAGAACAAGTCAACCTGTGTTCCATTCCATAAGATTCCCAAACAATAGGAAACCATTTAGGTCCTTGTTCATTATGAAATAAATATGTAACCAATACTTTAGAATGAAATTCTTTGCCCCAGAAAGGGTAGAGAAAAAGGAAAATGCTATTATAGCATTCCTAGACCTTTTCATTTGTTGGGTTGGAATTTTAAGTGCATGGAATTAATCATGCACTGTTTTTTTCTTAGAAAGTTTTTATGTACCTATATGTTTACTACTAGAGTTCAAGTTTAACCTTGTTTATGGGCTTGTTACTGTGTCATATGAGTCAGGAATATATAAAATCTAATTTCTCTAATGACTTTAACTTTGTATTGGGTGTTATTGAATTTAATTGCTCTGACACTTCGTACAAAACATGAGTTAAAGCAAGTACCATCCTGGTTCTGATGGGCTGGAAATAGCTAGTCAAAAGTGACTTTCTTTAGACATTGGACTGAAGCCTACTCTTCTTGTTCTGTCGTATTCCTTGTGATAATGCTTGTTCAAAATTTCTAAGTGCAGAAGAGGAAACGGGCCCCAATAGGAGTCCAACTAAAGGAAACATAAGGATGGCCTTGTATTGGCTTGTACAAGGTTGTCAACCTGGAGATTCCTTGGTGTTTCACTATTCTGGTCATGGTTCACGGCAAAGGAACTATAATGGCGATGAAGTTGATGGGTATGATGAAACTCTATGTCCACTGGATTTTGAAACTCAGGGTATGATTGTTGATGATGAGATTAATGCAACAATTGTAAGACCTTTACCTCACGGGGTTAAGCTTCATGCCATAATCGATGCTTGTCATAGTGGCACTGTCCTTGACTTACCTTTCCTTTGTAGCATGAGCAGGTCAGTTGCTATTGAAAATGTTCATGGCTCATTTCATATTGCATTGTTTATAGCTAATCTTCAAGTGCAATCTCTTTATCGGAAAACCAAAGATTATTTCGGAGTTTCTTATACTTGGGATGGGATCATAGGGTGGATATCCTAGCCCTGCTCCAGGTGCGGCAATTCTCAAATGTGGTCTTGCAAAAACACCTTTTCTTTCTGCTTTGAAGAATAAATTGCTATTAACACTTGCAATAACTTTTTCTGGGAGAGGGTGACAAAATACAAAAATGTTGAAAACTTCTTAAATAATTCCCAGTTATATGGTGCAAGAATGATATGATTAATATCAGGGTTTTATTGAAATGTAGAACTTTATGTCTTGTCTTGCACAGTGCAGTCCTTTGTTCCCCAATTATAATCCCTCCAAACCGGGGCCATGGGATGATGGGAGAGATGACCTACCCTTACTGTTTAATGTTTATCTTTACACACACACACACACACACATATTGGGGAATGGGGGAATTATCTAGTATGTGGTAAATACTAATAGGAGGACCAAGCAAGCATATAATCAAGAAATTTTGCCTGACTTTTTTAGGACAGGAAGTGGCTCATCCTTGAAGTATATATATGTTTTAGTTGTGGACTGATTTCTTCCTTCATTGTCCTTGTTTCTTTTTGCTTCACTGTTTAATAGCGTTCAAAACTCTATTTTCTCCCCTTTGCCTATTGTTCTGCCAAATGTCTTACTGGTTATGTCTTTCGGATGAAGCACTGGACATTATGGATGGGAAGACCATCGCCCAAGGTCAGGTCTATGGAAAGGAACAAATGGTGGAGAAGCAATTTCCTTTAGTGGTTGTGATGACAACCAAACCTCTGTTGATACTTCTGTATGTTCCCAAAAACTGGCCAATCATCTTTGTCCAATATTAGTCCTAAGGACATAATCAAATGTTAACACTTCTGTAAGCAGGCTTTATCCGGGATCACGTCTACTGGTGCAATGACCTTCTGCTTTATCCAAGCCATTGAGAGTGGGCATGGCTCTACATATGGAAACATTCTCAATGCAATGCGTGCTACCATTCGTTCTGCAGGTGGTGGTAATGATTTTGGTGGTGGTACTGTTACAACCCTCCTCTCAATGCTTTTGACAGGAGGCAGTCTCCCTGGTGGGCTTAGGCAGGTAATTTGACTTAATGTTGCATATGGATGACTTTATTTTGATGACATGGTTTTACATAATTATTAGAAGATGGTCTTTTCTTTTATTATTTAATTGATGCTTGGCATATGAATTATGATTCATGTCTCAACTAAACACCTAGGTATTTATGTCTTCGGTGAGTTTTTTCATAACTATGGTTACTCAAATACTTGCACGGACAATCAACATAAAATTAATTTCGTGCAAGTTGTTAGGGAAACATATGAAACTGAGGCAATTATTACTATAATGACCAGAAATTGTTGAGGTTTGGTCGTCATAAGAGAATCCTGTTTTCTAAAACCCTAGAAAAATGTAAATTTCAAATGAACTCCATAGGGGATATGCGCAAGAGCTCTAGTTTATAAATATCTATCATCAATTGAGAGTTTGAATCTTGCAATAAAGAGGTTTGACCCCCCTTTTTTTTTCTTTTTCTCTAAACAGGAGCCACAGTTGACTGCTTGCGCGCCATTTGATGTGTATACAAAACCTTTTACCCTATAAATTTTTTAATTTGCGTTTAGAACCTAGAGATTGGTTATACTTGTATTTAAATTGAAGGGATTGAGCTTTACTCTTGAGCTCTTTCCTATCTCTATATATCTGCATTATTCTTAATATGCCTATTTCCATGAAGTGAACTGCTCAAGTCATGTTCCTACGAAAAGACTGCTACGCTCTTGTTCGAGTGGGATATACCCTCTGGCTGAGCTACAGTCTTGGTATGTATGAAGATGTAAATAATATCCCAACTCGTGCAGGACATTAAGTGTGAAATAAATATGGACAAAGTTTAAAATATATCATTATTCATTAATATATGTTACTAACGGTGCGATCTTTTTCTTTGCAAATCTTCTGTCTTGAAAATTTAAGCTGCAATAACCAGGGTTGGATCATCCACAAGGGTCGTAATTACAAAGTAAAAAAAAAAAAGGTTAAATGCTAATTTTGGTCCCTCAACTTTATAGAGTTCCATTTTTTGGTCTTTCAATTATTTTTTTCACTTTTTTGATCCATCAACTTTAAGAATTGCACAATTTTAATCCTTCCATCAGTTAGGGCAATTAAGTTGATCCACGTGACATCTTTCTTATTTTTTATAATGACACGTTAATGACAAATTGTACAATTAGCTTAGATGAACAATGTCAAATTTAATTATTGTTTTTAATTCTTTTCAATTATTTATACATAAAACTACTAAAATCTAGGTTCATCACGAACCTAGACAATCTAGATTCATGGCAAACCCAGAAGTTGTGGGTTCATCATGAACCCAAAGCTTGAGGAAGTCTTTGTGAAGGTATCTCATTGCTCTTCAATTATATATCCTAAATTTCTTTACTGATGTTTAAAGAAGCATGAGTATGAGATTATTTCCTAGTCTGGTTGATGAAATAGGTGTGTTTGCTTTTTCAATTTAGTCTATTTAGCATAGATGGTTTTTTGGGTTTAAATTAAGGGTATGTTTGTGCTATGACATCTGTGGTGCTTAGCTTGTTTCATAATTAATCGAGTCTAAGGTTGCTTTTATTTATTTGATTTAAAATGTCAAATTCAATTACTTAATTCTTCTAATTCAAGTTAAATTGTGTGCGACAAATCTACACTATCTGGGTTCCTCATGAACCCAGAGCAAGGAAGGTTCTTACAAACCCATCAAAGGGTTCTTGTTGAACCCAAAAATGGGTTTTCCTTTTCCTTTTTCTTTTTTTTTTTCTTTCAAATCTAGTAGATGAGAAAATAAAAAGGGAGGGGGAGATAGACAATGGTAGAGGAGAAGGGAAGATGAATAGTGAGAGAGAAGAACCATGAAGACGATGAAAGTAGCGGTATAATTGTATTTTTGTCTTTTAATTTATGAATTGTTTAATGTTGTGGAATCTAACTTGGTATTTTTATGTCCACATAACTTGATTATATGATGTGTCATTACACATCATAAAAAATATGTCTTTCTGGAATATTTTAACAGTTAAGTGTCACTTTAACTGACGGAAAAAGGTGCAGATCACCCCCTCAACTCAACCACTGGTGGCAAATCACCCCCTCAACCCACTTCACGCGCAAATCAACCCCTCAACTCACATGCAGTGGCAAATCAACCCCTCTGTTAAGGCTGACATCATCATTTCGCTAACTTTTAACCGTCCGTTCATCCGCCCCTCCTCCG